TGTAGTTGTTAGGACCATGTATTGCAACCCTAACTTTCCTCGTCTCTCTTCAGGTGGCTGGGGAACGATACGTCTACAAGTTTGTGTGTAACCCGGACGCCCTGTTCTCCATGGCCTTCACCGAGAACCCGCGGCAGAACCAGATCAAACCCGATCCGGACGCACAGCTCCGAGTCCCGGACGCAGACGGACCGGTGCTGCCCCCTTTCGACGAGGACGGTCCCTACCTCCCAGACGTCACGGAGCAATGCATCATGGAACTTCCCTACGCAGAGTCGTGCCCCTACCAGAGCCTCGCCGAGCCATTCAACTGATCCGCTCGATGTAATTCACTTTTATACACAACACACACGATGCTGGATTCAATGGAATGAGTTTAAAAAGTGCTTATGACAGAGAAAATCTAACCGGTCTGTAACAGTTATAACTAGTAACAAACCATATGGGATAGTTCTAACCAGTTCATCAACTTTGATTTAAAATTATTTCAGAAAGAAAATCCCAGTCATTGGCCGTGCCTTATTGCTAAAAAGATTAAATGTCACTGTATCTGTGTCTTCCCAGTGTGGGCTCATCTGTCATACGCACTTGTTAATCGGCTAAAATGACATTTCTTGCCACTTGTACAGGTCATATTTATGCCCACAATTGTTTTATAGCCAGTACGTATATCTGCTGACCAAAAATTTGAAACCTGTTATTTCTATATTGTAAGGGACTTTTAAAACGTATAGTTGCTTTTCTGACAGAATATTTTTGGCTGATGTTACGCTCTAAACATGTATTTCTTAATGGCTTTTGATAATGGTTTGCTTCATGTTTAGAGATGTTTAATTCTGTACGAAGTTCTATTTTTGCTAAAGCTTGGACCCTCTGCTGTTCTGTGCCTTCTGTCTTTACCTGAACAATAAACTGTTAAACATGTGGCAACATTTTATTACATTAAATAGTTAGAAAACGTGGTTCAACATTTTACAAAAGACTTTATAAAATAGTGGTTCAATCCATAGCAGCAGAATGTCCTCAGCAGCACCTGCAAAGACAAAGGTAGTTTACAGAGATTACAATCAGTTTCAGCATTTTTTTTAACACCAGGGTCTTGTAGAACGCCACAGCAATTTTGGATTTGTCTCGTTTTAACCCTCTCCCTTATCCCCAGAGCAAAATGACACACCCTAAAGTAGAGTCAAAAGGATCGAAATCACCCAGGGCTGGTCAAGTTTGGACAAATTAGACATATTTTTTTAATCCAGGTGAATCCTACTCAGATTCTACACAGACTGAAATAACTAACGCACAAATAGTGGGATTATATAAAGCTGAATCCCACTACATCCTGTTACTTAGAGCATTTGATTTTCCAAGATACATTTCCGACTGCAACAAGATTATTTGCTAATTATCTCATTTAACACAGGTCAGGGTACTTCAAAGATTAAAATATTTCTAAAAGACTTCTCCTTGTGCTCTTGAATGCATCTGCAGGCCTCATTTCAGTAGTATCCAGTGTATATCAGTCACAGCAAACTCCTTAACTCAGCAGCAGGAGGAGCAGGACTCACCTTCAGTTGTCCTTCTTGGAGTCCAGCTCGTCGATCAGTTGCTGTGTTTTCTGAGCCAGCCGCAGTTTCTCCTCCTCTTGTTTCTTCATCTCCTTCTCAGCTTTTTTAGTCTGGTAGATTTTCGCTGCAGCAAAAGCCAAACACAAGAGCAGAGTCTTCAGCGCCAGGATGTAGAGCAGCAACGGCACATTGTCCAAGGCCTGAGGGCGGAGGCAAGAGATGTGGAAACAGACTTTTACAGACAGCAAAGACTTAAGACTCAACAACTCATTCTCAAACTACATTGGCGTGTTAAAGCTGGGTTACTAAACTTAACAGATATAGAATACATTTAAATAATCTTATTCCAAATAGTTGGTTGGTTGTTTTTCCCGCAAACATTTTTATTGCTACTGCGTAAACCAGACACAAGGGATTACCAGTGATTATTTTACTTTGTGTACAAGTAAATTGGTTTCATAGTGATTCCAACATCTGCTCTGGATTCTAATTCAGTCCCTTCTCGAGGCGACAGCTGCGTAGGCCAATGCAGACCACAACAAGTTTGATTAGTTCCTGTAGCAAAACTTCTCTCAAATAAATACCTGGACTGATACAAGTTAGACATTGATATCAGATTAGATACTTTACAAATAGTCTAGTCTCCGCCTCAGCTTTGTTTAATAATTAAGACCATTTATTTTTCATTACATATAAATGTTGACATTTTTAAAATCCAATTGTGAATAAAATATACGTTTTTTTGTTGTGATCTTTTGTTAAAATTCTGATTAAAATGTCAATAACCAACTCTGAAGTGAAGCAGTTGTGTGGTTATCCTTTAATACAACATAAACACCAGGTCATACAGTAGTCAACATTGAAGTGATGCACCCAGAACCAGATCACAAGTTTAAGAGACTCTTATCTTGCGAAATGCCCCTAATATATTTGCATTTTTTACTTGGCATAGATATAACACCATAGATGGCTAAAGTCAGTCTGGTAGCATGCTAGCTTCTCCATGCTAACACGCTCTCTAACAGCGTCACAACCACTTTAGAAAGTTGTCAAGTGCGCACAGCAATGAAAACACGTACGTTATAGAGCAAGACCGAGTATTATGATGATTGCCTTACCTTCCAGTTCACCATTTTGGCAGCTTTTGTAGAAGACTGTGGTCACTGGAGCAGCTGCCGCGACCAGAGCAATGCTTTATATGGAGCTGGTGGAGGGGGCGGGTCTTATGGCACCTGTCAATCAAAATCTAATACTATGCTGGAGTGATAGTTTTGAATTTCATTTCTAGTGTTTTCCAGACATTCATTCTGGCATTAAGAGCGCGTAACAAGATAAAATATGGTTGTATAACTGAGCTACAACTTAAGAACCATACGGGTATTCTATTGAAAACTGCAAAAAAAAAAAAAAACTAATGATTTGGTATTGCTAACAGACTGTATATAAATGAACATGCTAACGTATACCTTATGCATATGGACAATGCTAACAGAGTGTATACACATGGACAATGCTAACTGTGGTTCAGTTGGTAGAGAATCTGCCTTTGAGCCAGAGGGTCGTGGGCACCGCAAGACTGTCTCCACCGACTCCCACTGATGTCTGCTGTCGTTGTGTCCTTGGCAAGACACTTAACCTCTGGGAACTCCTGATGCCACAGTGAGGCGGCTGCGGCTGTAAAGTGCCAAACTGCCTTTGTGTCCTAAGGCAAGACACTTCACCCCCATTGCCAGAATGAGTCTGGTGTGTGCGCGAGTGGTTGGTGGTGTTCAGAGGGGCCGATGGCACATACTGGTTGCCTTGCTTCTGTCAGTGTGCCCCAGGGCAGCTGTGGCTACAGTTGTATATCACCACCGTGTAAAGAGTAAATTAATAATGATATGTAAAGCGTTTTTGAGTGTTCAAAAAAGCGGCATATAAAACCGATGCATTTTTATTATTAACGGACTGTACACACATGGACAATGCTAAAAAATAGATATGGACTCTCACTTGTGCACACACACAAACAAATTGACCAGAGACACAACAAATCTATGAATAAACTTTATTATTCGACCTAGTCCATGCCGTAACAGCCATTTTGATAAACACCACTTCAAGTATTTCAGCTCAATCGAAGCTGTATTTTTAGGATCTCAAAAACCACTTCTGCTGATATAAAAAGCATGAACAAAAACATTATTTGCATGTTACCAAATACAGCATTGGCGGTCACAAGAGATATACAAGTGAATGTTGACAATCATGGAGACTTCTCTAACACTCAGACGATGGGGACAGTGATCGTCCGATACAAACCACCTATGTACAGTATTCTTTAAGCACTATTTATTCCATTCATTTTTTGTCATTTTCAAAGTTACGAAATACCATCGGACACAGACACAATGGGAGATGTGCAATATTTGTGCAATTATTTACTTTGAAAACAGCTGATGGCCCAAAACACAGTTATTAAGTGATTAGACAAGAAATAATGTCTAAAATTGCAATAAAAATGCCAAAAATCTAATATGGTATTGCTTCTTTTTTAGAATTATATCATTGATCTTGGTTTAGGCCTGGTATAGACCTGATTTTGTTGATCTAATCTAAACAGAATGTTAATACCAAATATTCTAAATTATCGCATTTTTTATTTTATTTTGACATTTCCACCTGGTTTAGTCCTGATTTAGAACTATGGTTTGGATCTGGTTTACAACTGGTATAAACCTGGTTTAGACCTAGTTTAGGCATGGTTTGGACCAAATATTAAAACATTCAATTACAATGGTTAGAATTATTTTATCTTTATCTATTATTTTTATTTTGTCAACATTTTCTCGGATGGAAATAATTTTTATTTTAAAAGTCAATTAAAATTGTGTTTTTTTTATGATTTCTTTTTTAAAATGTTCCAACAGTTGAGTTTTCTAACAGCACAAATTACAAAATCATGTTTATTATAAAGAAAAAACATATTGAAACTGTTAATGATATTGTTAAGAAAATCATAAATAATCTCAAAAATCAACTTAATGTTAACAAAAGAAGAAAAAGCAGAGTTTCCTACACTCCTGAACAGTTTATTTTTTGCCATTAACTTCCAAACATTTAAAACATCCCACGAAACACAGCTCCTTCTTTTTCCAAAATCTGCAAATTCACTTTTTGTATTTTTGAAAAGTATTTAACAGCCGATTAGGACTCTACGTGTTTTTATTTTCTTTCTTCAAAGCTAACAAACATTCCTGACAACGTTAGCGTTAGCTGCACGTGCTAGCGGCGGCGGCCATTTTGAAAAGTACCCTTGTTAACAGTCATTTCCTCGTACACGTCTTCCGGAGCTGCTTTCGACCAATGAAATCCAAGCTTCTTTACAAACCCGGCCAATCCCACGAGGCAGAGGTGATTTTCATTGTTTTGGGGTCACGTGTGCATCTTCACCGGCGGTCACTGGTTGGTGAAGTCAGGGCGCCTCGTCTGGACAATCTTGGGGCGCGGCGAGGGGCGGGAGCTGTCATCGTCATGGTCACAGTCGTCAGGGGCGGAGCTGTCGCCGTCGTCGCACACGTGGACAACAACACTGGGGGTGGTGGGTGTGGCTGTGTGAATCTCATACTTCTCACCTGGACAAAAAAACACAGAACAGGTTAAAACTAACCCAATGTCACCATAGAAAATAATGGACTTTAAAGCTAGGGTACCTAACTTTTTTATTCATAAATAAGACATGTTTGTTGCAAAAGAGAGAATCTTGTGAAGTGAAATGTGAACAAATCAGGCCGAGACTTGTTAACAAGGTAATACATCTAAACTTGTCTTTCAAAAGAACCAAAAAAGCATTTTAACTCAAGACAAAAATAACATTTTTGAATGATTTTATTACAGTACTTCAGCTGTATTTTTTCCTTTTTTTTAAAAAACATTTATTTAGAGATGTAACAATTCTGCTGTCGTGTATGGCTCTTTGGCTTCTCGTGACGACTTTGACAGTTGTGTAGTCCAAAGAAAAAAACAAAACTAAAAAACGAAGAAAAAAAAATAAGTACAAAGTGTACAACGTGTTTGGTGAGGGGGTTTACAGCTTAAAAATTATATTTGCTACTTAAAGGTTTTTGCTTATGTGGGTTATTTTTAAAACACATTACCCCTTGATAAACCAGGCTGCTCTGTGTGCTGCTGCACAATCACAGAGACTGTAGTAATGAAAGAAAAAACAGCTGGATTCATCACGAAGTACTGAGAGGTTTTCCTCCGGTTAGGTTAGCATAGCACGTGTCTGCTCAGCTCCAGGCCTTTTAGTCTCACCTGGTCCCAGTTTGGCGATGGCACAGAGCAGGTCGTAGTTGATGACAGGAGTGGGGTCGTGAGACTGCTCCCAGCCCACGGGAGGCGAAGCCGGGGGCGAGATCAGGAACTGCTTTTCTGGTTTGGGAGGCTCCAGGCGCGGGCTGCCGATGTGGACCGACTGCACGGAATCATAGACATTTATAGATTTCTGGTCTCCCCCTCTCTCTCTCTGGTCTCCCTCTCTCTCTCTGGTCTCCCTCCCCTCTCTCTGGTCTCCCCCTCTCTCTCTGGTCTCCCCCCTCTCTGGTCTCCCCTCTCTCTCTGGTCTCCCTCCTCTCTCTCTCTCTGGTCTCCCCCCTCTCTCTGGTCTCCCCCTCTCTCTCTCTCTCTGTCTCCCCCCCTCTCCCCTCTCTCTCTGTCTCCCCCTCTCTCTCTGGTCTCCCCCTCTCTCTCTGGTCTCCCCCTCTCTCTCTTCTCCCCCCTCCTCTCTGGTCTCCCCTCCCCTCTCTCTCTGGTCTCCCCTCTCTCTCCTCTCTCTGGTCTCCCCCTCTCTCTCTCCCCTCTCTCTCTGGTCTCCCCCTCTCTCTCTGGTCTCCCCTCTCTCTCTCTCTCTGTCTCCCCCTCTCTCTGGTCTCTCTGGTCTCCCCTCTCTCTCTCTGGTCTCCCCCTCTCTCTCTCTGGTCTCCCCCTCTCTCTCTGGTCTCCCCCTCTCCTGGTCTCCCCTCTCTCTGGTCCCCTCCCCCCCTCTCTCTGGTCTCCCCCTCTCTCTGGTCTCCCCCTCTCTCTCTCTGGTCCCCCTCTCTCTCGGTCTCCCCCTCTCTCTCTGGTCTCCCTCTCTCTCTCTGGTCTCCCCCTCTCTCTCTCCCCTCTCTCTTCTGGTCTCCCCTCTCTCTCTGGTCTCCTCTCTCTCTGGTCTCCCCTCTCTCTCGGTCTCCCTCTCTCTCTGGTCTCCCTCTCTCTCTGGTCTCTCTCTCTGGTCTCCCTCTCTCTCTCTCTGGTCTCCCCTCTCTCTCTGGTCTCCCCTCTCTCTTGGTCTCCCCCTCTCTCTCTGGTCCTCCCTGGCTCTCTCTCTCTGTCTCTCTCTCTCTGGTCTCCCCTCTCTCTCTCTCCTCTCTCTCTGGTCTCCCTCTCTCTCTGGTCTCCCTCTGGTCTCCCTCTCTCTCTGGTCTCCTGCTTAAACCTCTTTTCCCTGGTGTGAGTTTGTACCTGTGCGAAGTAGAGGCGCATCTCTTTGCCGTGGAAGTCGCTCTTGTGAAGCCGCAGTCGAGCTTCAGCCGCGGCCAGAGCGTCGCTGAAGCTGATGCGAACGCGACGGAACGACTTGAAATACTGGAACTGCACCTCGGGGTCGAATGAGCGGAACAGAGACTCGAAATTCACCTGAAGAAGAGGAGAGATACAATTCAATAACACTGTTGCAGCTGTACAGGGGTCCCTCACTATAACACTTTTCACTTTTCAAGGTCTCACTGTTTTTCTGGCCTCTCTCTCCCTTTCTCTGAATCTTTCTGGATTTGAATGCTGATAATTGAGATAGCCCTAGTTCAAAATCTCACAATATTGTTGCAAAACCATTTTTGCACCTCAAAAGCACACACCTACATCGGATTCAATCACTTTCCCAAACCTGGTATAGAGCGTGTTGTACACCGCAAACAAAACCATCGTTTCCTATTCTTTTGTTCGTTTAATCTGGTCTTTGTCTATAAATACGGAGCGGCAGAGGCGGCAGAGGAGGAACGCTGGTATAAATAGCTTGAATTAAAGATTCTAAATCAGTCCCACTCCTGGCATCACACAGACCCTTTTTTTCAGAGCAGTTATGAAACACAAAACACACCAGAAACATGACATGCATGGAACTGAAACCAGTAGTATAATCAGACCACAAACATCTTCTGTAACATGTCATCTTTTGCATACTTGTACGGAAGAGTGAGTCACTAATTTACTTTTTGGGCTGAGAACTGATTGATTGTCAAATCTTTAGATCATCTTTAGAGGACCACCCTCAGTCAGAGGCCAAAATAACAGTTGTTTTGTCTTTTACAATTTTAATTTTAATTTCTTTTTTCTACCTGAGATGTTGCTGCACAACAGTGTTCACGGTTCTGCACTGGTCAAGACCGGAGCAGAGAGGATTCATGGTCTGAACTAAGCGGATCAGGCGAAAATCCACTGGAAGAATGCCAACTTTTTGAAAAATGCTAATAAGCATTGGGGCTTTTATTTTGGACTACAGCTGAGAAAATGGTTCGAACCAAGCAGCTACTTCACCTTGTGACCCGTCCTGCACCACCCAGAGTCTACACCACCTCTGCTGCTGTGACCTGAAAGGCTTATTACATTGTTGGCTTTTTAGAATGATCAATTTTATTTTTTCTGCAACGAGACACCTGAAGTATCAATCAATCAATCAATCAAACAAACAAACACATTCATTAGAAATAGTGTTGCTGTAGGAATAATGACATGTGCAAAGATTTGAATACCATCCACTCCCAATAAACCCTTTTATCAGACACATAACCATGAGCATTTTGTTTTAGAGATAAACATAACCAAATCAGTACATTCATTGTGGTGTATTGACTACGTACACATCTATAGATGACAGCAATCAGACTTTTCTATCCTTCGGAAGAGTCTATGTGTCAGCTCAGCTATAATTTCACTTTGCACTTAGAGCTACAAACACAATGGGGAAAATCACGGTAAAATTATTGGGATTGGTAAACACACTCTCATACTAAAGAATAGGACCAATCAGTCAGAACAACATCATACTTCTTTGTTGTGTAACTCTGGAAAAACTACGTCAAAGGAAAAACACTTTGCAGGTACTGGAGAAAGAGAAAAGGAAAGAGCTGGAATCGAATCAAGTGTGTGAAGTGGCCACTAGAGCTCGCCAAAAACCTGTTACTATGAAGCTGAAGGCTATTTGACATTGTTCACTTTGTTAATATCATGATTATGAATCTTTCAACAACCAGTAGACCTTTACCAAAAAAAATTCCGCTTTTGAGCAATTTTACACTAGACATGATTTTCTCAATACTAGACTCTGTAATAACTTCAAAGCCGCAATTGACAACAACAACAACGTGTTCTTGTATAGCCCTACATCACGACAGAAATCATCTCAGAGGACTTAACAAAACCATTGAATTCACCAACACAGATCAGAGAATCAACAGTTAAAACACAAAATATACACATATGAATCGGTCCATAGGGAGAGACCAATGTCCATGAATGTTGATAAATGTCCATCCATGTTGTAGAATGTTAAAGTGTCCTGGATCATCACCGCAGTCCTTCTAGTTGGACACTAACCGCCCCAAAAAATTGAGACACTATCGCATGTTGGGGCGGCAGTCTGACCTCAAGAGACAGTAACCGGCTCGACAGGCTGATCAGGAAATGTGTCTCTGTGATGGGGAGAAGTGTGAGGGCTCTAATGCAGAGCATCCTGGGTAACTCCAGACACCCTCTGCAGGACACTGTGGCCACTCAGGGGAGTAATCGTAGCAACAGGCTTACAGTATATCACTGCGCTGCCGAACGGAACGTTTTAAGAGATCCTTTGTTCCTTCGACTATTGGTAGGCAGTTAGAAATGTTTAGAATGGATGTACAAATTAACCTGACTTTCCCCTACGGGGATCGATAAAGTATTTATCTATCCATCTATATAATTATATCAAAATACAATTTTGTTTTAACAAAACTTGATAGGTAAAAATGTTCTATTTTAAACAAGCATCAATTGAAATCATGCAACTAAAATAAGTTATATATAGTTTTAAAATTTTTCAGTCTAAGGTAGTCTATGAAATGAAATAACTGCATTATAATTATCTAAATGGTAATATTAATGCACTTATGCATTAATCACAAAGATGCTTCATAGGGATCTACTATTGTAGCTACAGCTGCCCTGGGGCACACAAACAGAAATGAGGCAAGCAGTATGTGCCATCTGCCCCTCCAACCACCACCAACCATTCACACACACACACCAGACTCTTTCTAGGCAATGTGAGAGAGTCTTGCTTAAGGACACAACGGCAGTTTGGGCACTTTACAGCCGCAGTCGCCCAGTGGTCTCCCATCACAGATTGCTTACATGCAGGTGGCGCCATAACTTCGCACCAAGTCTAATATTATTCAGGGTGTGTTAAAATCCTGTAAATTGCGGTACTTTCATCTTTCCCTGCCACACCTGGGTGCACTGACTCACCTGAGTGTCCGTCCGCAAGAACACTTCCTGGTTGGTTACCGAGGCGACCAGGCAGAAGCGGTTACACTTGGTGCTTTTGATGTGCATGGCCAAAGCGCCGGGGAGTCGGAACTTCATCCACTTCAAGGACAAAGACGCAGAACTGGGGCGGAACGAAGCCGAGAGCGACGAGGACTGAGGTGGGCTCGAGGAGGAGGGGCGGGGAGGTCCGGACAGCGTTGGTTTCCCCAGGGTGAAACGGAAATTTGGTCCAAAAAACACACGGTTTTTAAAAAATTGAATTAAAAAAATCTGCGCATTTTCTTATGGAGTCCTTTGTGAATCGATTTCAGGCTGAATTAAAGTCTTTTTTGTCAAGATTTTTTATAAAAGATTGACAATAGATACAAAAAATGCGATCACTTTTGTATGGTCTCAAATTTTGCAGCAAATTTCAAGGATTTTCAGGATTTGTTACAGCAATGTTTGAGCAATTATTGCAGAAAAAATCCTAAACGTCTATGAAAATTTGACTTCAGTGATGTCTGATCTGCATAGACAAATCGTTTCTATTAGATTCAAATGCATAAATAATATTACTACAGATGAAGACAACAGCCCTTACTGACCAAAAATGCCAAATATCTCAAAATGCAGTTCCTCTTTGCAGTTGCATATTCCAATCTTACAAAGAAAAAATGAATCACTTTTCCTGGATATTTTACGTCCCGCTGACCTAGATTTGAAGGTTGCCCAATCCGGGTTAAGCCTTGTGTACAACAAACGCAAGCCGAGTCTACAGGAATCTTCCGGAATGAGCCGGAGAAATGTCGCGCTCTTCGTCTGTCTTCTTCTTTCCAGCGCAGAGTGGTTTTAAGTGTGCTTGAGGGCTCTGCAGTGACGCACGAGACCTGCCCCTGTCTGTGAGCTGTCGGCCCATTTCTCCCCATTCATTCCAGCTCGACCAATCAGGAAAGAGCAGAGAAAGGGGAGGGAGGGAGGGGGGGAGGAGAGGAGAGGCGAACGGCGCATTGCTGTAGTGTGAAGACTTTGAGGTGAAGCAGAAAATGTGGGCTAATATTAGGACAAGACATGGAAAATGTATAGGCAGGTTTAGTGGGAGACAGAAATGGTGTGAAGAAGCAATCGTACCCAGTGCATACTTGAAAGTATTAAAGCTGGGGTACCCGACTTTCAAACCCCAACTAAATGTGATAAAATCCATCTATATCCTCGCTCTCAAAACGATTTGCTTCTATCACGTTTATTGATGTATTTTTAGTGTCCGTCACATCTTCAGATCAGCTTTTTCAGACAGAAAAGAGCACTACCCTCTCTCAGCCCAAAGTGTCAAATGGTGACTCCCAGGGCTCTCTCTTACATGAAAGATAAAATATTATTTCTGGTAAGATTAAGACAACAGGTTGTGGTCCTATCTGTTCACAACATTTTTATTGTTCAAAAGACTTTCTGTTCACATGGAGTCTTATCTATGGAGAAGAAAAAGGTACCCCACCTTGGGGTAATGGGAACAATTTTCCAGTATTTGCTCAAGATATAAGTGTATGGCTCCACTAAAAAGACAAGTCCAAAATGAGTCCCTGAACCCAAAACCATAAAGTTGATAATTGATGACAAAGACTAAATTAGATTATTTTTCAAAACCCCATAAATCAAACTATTGTTACAGATAGTATGACGTGATTAGTTCATTATTCTAAGAAGGTCACTCTGGAATGGACTGTTGAAACGGTATTAAAATTAATGGGGGTCACACGTCCCATTTCACAAGGACATTTGACAAGAACAACCAATAGTTATGCATTTGATTCCGTTCCACTTCTAATTCAATCTCACTGATTTGCCCCTGTCCTTTCATGGTCTTCGGTGATCCGTTTCCAATAGTATAAGTGGATCCAGACTCCAATAGTCACATCTGCCAACTGCTGCTGCCCTCTGCAGAAAACTCACTCTTTGAAAATGATTAGTGATGTCAAGAAGACTGTTGAAGTGAACAGTCCTCATGATCAAGAAGTGTGAATGCACCTTTAGTGCCGCTAATATACCCTGGTTTAATCACAGCCTGAATCCTGCTTCAGTCCCTGCTTAGCCCTGATTTAGTCCTGATTTACCTCCCCTCTCCAGCCCAGAGCCTATAGACTGAGCACAGGTGCTTGTTTTTCCACCGCTCTGAGCTCTCTGCTATTAATACCTCATAAAAGGCTGTTATCAAACCACATACTTTCCACAGAGACCGGTTTTCCAAGCACACACGAATGCACCATCTCCACAACTTATTACAATTTATTTCCATGTTTTCGAAGGAGGAGAAATGATTAAGATGTGCCGCCTTTGGTATGTGGGGAATTTCAAATAAAAAAGTTCAAGAAGGTCTCGTCAAATCCTGGTTTAGACCACGGATTTGAAGCAGGATAGAAGACCTTGTATAGACTTGGTTCAGTGTTTTGTCAATTGACTTGGGCTTAGGGCTGCAAGAGCTATCAAAATATATCGCAAAGACTGCAATTTATACAATCCACATTCTGGACCTGTATTTAGATGGACAATGCTAACCCCCAAGCTCAATGCCTCGCCAGTCTCTGCCGCCAGTCTCTGCCGCCAGTCTCTGCCGCCAGTCTCTGCCGCCAGTCTCTGCCTCCAGTCTCTGCCTCCAGTCTCTGCCTCCAGTCTCTGCCTCCAGTCTCTGCCTCCAGTCTCTGCCTCCAGTCTCTGCCTCCAGTCTCTGCCTCCAGTCTCTGCCTCCAGTCTCTGCCTCCAGTCCCTGCCTCCAGTCCCTGCCTCCAGTCCCTGCCTCCAGTCCCCCTGAGCTGTGTCAGACTCCTCACGTTTCCATGTAAAATGATAAGGCTGCATGTTGTGTCTTTGGTATGTTTACCGTCACATTCTTTCCACTGGACAAAGGAGTTTGATGTCCTGTTTTTAAAAAGGGAAGTAACAACAGTGACCTTTCCAACCAACATTTGGAAGGAAATAAAATTAGTTATTCTAATTTTACAAGGGAACAAAGTGGCCAAAATAACTAAATATTATATAATGCAAACATCAGATTTTGTTTTGTACGGTCTGTAGTAGTATTAGTAGCAGCAGCAGAAGCAATATTAGTAGTAGTTATTAGAGCAGGACCATCAGTAGTAGTAGAAGTAGTAGTAGTAGTAGTAGTAGTAGTAGCAGGAGTAGCAGCAGCAGTAGTAGAAATAGCATTATGAGTTATTAGGGCAGTAGTAGGAGCAGTCGAGGAAAGAATAGCAGTATCAGTAATGTTTTTAACAGTTTCATGTCTGACATTGACTTGCATTAGTCTAATTGTATACTACTTTAGCTTGCATTTCTCCTTGTACTGAACATATCGTACATATTAAATCCCTGCTGTTGACAGACGAAGTGTTGCAATGATGAAAATTCCTCTTTGTGGTGCATGATTAGCTGTAATTAAAGCAGAGTGCGAGTCCCATGCAAAGATTAAGAGCTGGAAACTATGAGTGAAGTTGTTTGTTTTTGCTAAGCTAACAGCTAAACGTGCACACAGCTCAGCGGTGCAGGTGTAATGCTGTTGCTGAGAGGAGCTTTTTTCCATTGGCTCATTCAGGCACAGACAGGTGGAGTATCACTTTCACTTTAAACTCAGACTGAGTCAGTTTAGTCACCACTCAATACTGTACACTGAAGGAAGAGGTAAATGCAATACTTCAGTCTTTGCCGTCATTATTCATGAGGTCGACTAAAGAATGGTATCAATTAAGCAGTGAAAACATGGCTGGACCACACAGTACTGTTGCATTTACAGTATTACACCACCAGGGGGCTCATGCTCATGCTAAATATCTTTTGTTTTTCTCAATAGATGGTGCCGTTTAGAAGAAATATTACACATAATTTTTGGCCATTCAAAACTACTACTACTTTGTTGTTTCATATTTTAGAATGTGAAATAATATATGCAGTATGATATGGTCATATGTGGTCAGGGCTGGACTGGCCATCGGGCGTACCGGGCAATGCCCGAAGGGCCGATGCCCATATTTGGGCCGGTCTGTCTGCCTCATACAAAAAACATGTTGGTGAAAAGTGTAAATCCGTTGAGAAATGTTTGAGGGGAGCGCGCGTGTCCGCGGGGCACCTGCTGTATGTACTCGAACGGGATTCCACCACCTCAGCGGCCGCAGTGTTCCCGCATCCAGCGGCTCTGAGCTGGACGCAGGAACCGCTCACTTGGAACCGCTCACAACACAACACGGTGAGCGCGTAGCCGCAACGTGACCATCTACCCAAGACCATAAACGCGCACAGGACCATGCATGTCTTTTCGTAATTTGTGCACCCAATAAATACACCGCTGCAGAAAACAGTCCGCGTCTCCCCTCTCCTCTAAATTAAAGCTCGGGTACCTACATTTTCCATTGCATTAAAAGTTCATCTTTGAGCCCAAAAGTAAAATGTTGTCAACAGATTAAACAGATTTAGAGCCAGCCAATGGCTAACAATATGCATTTCAGACATTTTTACCAATTCTCATCCCTGTAACAAACAATAGTGTTGTCTGTGCCCACCTCCCTCACTCTGAGACATGTTTATTACTCTGTTTAATGTAGACTATTGTACTGTATTTTATTGTTGAAACTGCAGACATCCTGATCCTCTACAGTATTTGCTTCCACATACTGTATAAACCAGGGGTCGGCAACCTTTAGTGCCCCTAGACTGTGTGTGCGCATGGATCCCAAAAATAAAGAGAGAGTCGATAAGACTGGACTAAGAATGAGAATGAACATTTGCTTTCAGTCAATGAGGAAGGACTGCTTCATGTTTGCGATGTAATGAAAAGTTTTGTTGCAACAGGAGGAACAATGAAGCTTTAAACACTGTTCACTGAAAGATTCATTCATCATAAAGTCAGAGCACCTATTTGCAGACTTAAAATACCTCCGCAAAGACGGTGAAAGAAAAGGCCATTAAGGACATTCAGCTCCAGCAAACTTCAGCCTGTGATGTGATCGATATGAACAGACAGTGATGCAGGTGAACTCGGAGCCAAAAAGCAGATTTATTTACTGTATTTGTACAATTGCATGAAGGTTCAAGTTAAAGCAGAGTTTCACGTGGTGCGTCATTCCCTCCAGGACACGCTGCAATGAAAATACACATTTGATAATCATGAATGGTTTTTATGTGTTTAGCCTTTACTTTGTCATTTAGATATTAGGCTAATATAGCTTATATAGCTAATGTAGCTAAGGTAGCTAATGTAGCTAAGGTAGCTAATGTAGATAATACAGCTTCAGCCCCTGTTACCTTCATATGAGCCTTATACAACGCTGTTTTTTATTTTTTTTTGCGGCTCCAGACAGATGTTGTTTTTAGTTTTGTTGTCAAATATGGCTCCTTGAACCTTTTGGGTTGCCTGGGCCGCTAAAAAGGAAAAAATGCCCGGGCCGTTTTTTTGTCCCAGTCCAGCCCTGTATGTGGTTAAACATGTATAGTGGATAAATAACAAGCAAGATATTTTTGTTTAAAAATGTTATCTACATTGAACCGCAAGATAAAAATGTCTAACAAAAGTTAAGCACAACATTACATTCAAATGCAGTATGGCCATGGATCTATAATAATAACTGGATAGGGTATTACTAGCTTATAGCTGTCCCACCCATGGGTACAGGGGGCGCCCGTGGTACTGCAGACTAAATTCACGAGGGCTACCCAGAAAAAAGTCTCTTAGAACTCAATGTAAATTAAAACAGCTCGACCTCAGCTGACAGAGAACTTGTCATCCTGAACTTTTTTTCTCATTAAATCTTTCGGTTTTCTTTAAATCTGAGAGGAGCAGACGATGCCCAAATATAGGCGAGTTCAGCTAATCTCCCGGTCTCCATGAAGTCCCATGCGCTACTGAGCACAAGCCATTCATTTGAATAGGGCGCCATCTTGGATCACCGGGGCTTGAGTATGGCACACTTGCTAACCTCAAATCTTGCCTAAAGTTGCCAATTCCATACACACAGTATTAACGGAGAGTGTATATTTATATGGCGTAATGGTTGCAGTTAAAGTATTCTCATAAGGAGCAACAGAAGTGAAACTGTCATTAATGCTCCTTTGCATATTTGCCTTTGATTTGACCGGAGAAGGCTGTGGCGTTTTAGATTGTAAATACACAGCATAAAGTACCTTGTGGTTACAGGGCTGGCGCTTTTTAGTCCTGTCTTTTAAATCCAAAGTAGCATTCGTCTGCATGTCTCTTCTTCATCTGGTTGTTTTGTTTCTCTGTGTGCTCCACCCTGGCGTACGGCGGCAGTAGGTCAAAGATTAATCACAGTGCGCATAAAAATGTATGCATAAATATATGAAAATTATCACAAATCTTTTTTAGATGGATATTGAACGTTTTGCGATGACACTATATTTTTCTGATATATTATGCAGCCCTAGCCTGGCCTTCGCCATCCGTACACTCCGTTCAATCATCATTTCACTGCATGTAACGTCTGGGTCTGGTCCCCATGTTAGCGATTACAATCGCTTGAATTTCGACCGACCAATCAGCGAGCGCGGAAGGCGGGTGTTGTAGTTAGTTGTGGGTGACGTCAAGAGTTTGCGTCGAACGGGAAGGTTGTAGTTTTGCAATGGCGAAAAATGTGATAATGAAGTAATCCGGTCTGGTTCTATCAAGAAATTGAAGCCGGAGCAAGAAGAATATTTAGCAAATGTAATCGCTGGAAAAAATTGTGGCGCTACTCCCCACGGGCTCCGTTAGCAGCAAAGGAGATGGCTAGGCTAAATGATAAATGCTAACGACTCACTCGGGCGCATTAGATACACCACGGTAAACTCAGATCCAATCGTTTCAATCTGAAAAAGGAGTTAACCCCTCCTATCTGTAAACGAAGCTCAATGCAGCGCCACTAGACCTTAGTTTGAAATGTAATTTGTAGTATGGTGTGGTACAACCAGGCTAATGCAGCCCTAATAGAAAGCCAGTATTCATACACAAATTGGGTTAGAGGCCCCAATATACATCCAAAAATAATGTTAGAAGACTCAATATTAGAAATAGAGGTCATTATGTAGAGGTCACCTCCTGTGGGCCCACCACCTGCAGAGGGGTCCGTGGTGGCGCGGTGCTGAGAGGACTGGGCGGCAGTCGAAGGCGGAGACCTCGGCGACCCAGTCCGCACACACAACATCTGGCTCTTGGGACGTGGAACGTCACCTCACTGGGGGGGAAGGAGCCCGAGCTCGTGGGGGAGGTTGAGCGATACCGACTAGAGATAGTCTGCCTCACCTCCACACACAGCTTGGGCTCTGGAACCAAACTCCTTGAGAGGGGTTGGACGCTCCACTTTTCTGGAGTTTCCCGCGGGGAGAGGCGGCGAGCTGGGGTGGCCATTCTCATTGCCCCCCATCTCAGCCGCCACGTGTTGAGTTCTCCCCGGTGAATGAGAGGGTCGCGTCCCTCCGCCTCCGGGTGGGGGACAAGTCTCTCATTGTTGTGACGGCCTACGGGCCTAACAGCAGTGCAGAGTACCCGGCCTTCTTGCAGTCTTGGTGTATTCTCCTGGGGGACTTCAACGCCCATGTGGGAAATGCCAGTGACACTTGGAGAGGGGTGATCGGGAAGAACGGCCCCCCTGATCTGAACCCGAGCGGTGTTCAATTGTTGGACTTCTGTGCCAGTCACAGTTTTTCCATCACGAACACCATGTTCGAGCACAAGGGTGTCCACCAGTGCACGTGGCACCAGGACACCCTAGGCCGGAGGTCGATGATCGACTTTGTTGTCGTATCATCTGACCTTCGACCGCGTGTCTCGGACACTCGGGTAAAGAGAGGGGCGGAGCTG